GTTGCGCGAGGCCTGGAGGTTCGGCCGCGCCCGATTCGGGCGTGCAGACAATCCGTGGGCGGCCCAATTTGCGCGGCCAGATCGCTTGGAAGGGGGTTGTCAGGGGCTTGCGTCTTGATGGAGTTGCACCGCCTCGCATGGCACCTTTCTCAGTCCTTTCCGCGCGCGCCAGTGTACGAAACAACGCGGCAGCAGGAACAGACGGAATTCCACCCGAAGTGCACAGAGGCGTGCCATATGTTATAATCCGTGACTTTTGGGGGCAATTCCAGGCCAGGTATGGCGGCGACGCGACGTCGACGCCAGGCACATGGGATACTCTGGAATTCACGGGCCTCCCCAAAGAAACCTCGAGCAAGTCACTTTCGCCCTACCGGTGGATTGGTAAATTGGATTGTTGTTGGAAGTGGTACACTCGTTGCGCACAGGGGCCGCTACGTCAATCGTTGAATCCAAGCCATGTGGAAACGTGACGTAACATCCATCGTACGGCAAACGCTTTTTATTGCATACAAGTGGGGCCGACCTCTTGTCATCGGCTCTTTGGACGTCGCCACCGCCTTCGACGCGATGCGTCATGGCAACGTGCTGAAGGCTCTGCTCGGCAGAGGGGTGCACCCGCAGCTGGCGAAAGCCTCGATGGTCGAAGTCCCAGGGAAGTCCTGTCGCATAGAGCTGCCTGGGGCCGGATTCTCTGACGATTTTCCGCTCGAAGGGGGCGGCAAGCAGGGGGGCGACGACACCCCGGACGCGTTTAATTGCATGATCGAATACCTTATGGAACCCGTCGTCAAAACCTGGGCGGAGAGAGCAGCCAGTTTCGCTTTGGACGACGACCGACCACACAGCCTACGTATAACCCACCTCGTTCGGGCTGACAACATCATTTTCATCGAATCGCTGGAGCAGTTCACGGACATGATGCGCGACCCCACCTCTGCCATCGAAGATTACGGGTTCAAATGGAACTCGTTCTCGTTAGAATACATGTTGTGCGGTTGCCTGCGGGGCACGGCTCATCTGCAACAGAACGCCGTGCACGTCTCCAGTACTACTGTCCTTAACCGAGCGCAGCGCATTCTGCTTTTGGGCGTCATGTTCGACCCTCAAGGAGATGCCGACGGGAACGCCGATTGTCTCAAGGAGAAGCATGTTTTTGGAAGCACAGCCGGGTCATATCTGGACGTGGGCCGGTATCCCATAAATTACGTGCTTGATCGACGGCTCCAGTGGCATCCAGCTTGTTCTGTTGCGGGTCTTTGCACATATCCAAATGCCACCTTGTCCGCTTGCGTCCTTGGGAACATGGCATGCTCCGCAAGGTTCTCCGGCTACGGCGGCGACCTGATGAAGGGTATATGTCCTGTAACTCCCGCGCATCACGCATGATCCAATATTGGTCTGTTCAGCGCGGCCACGCCCCTATCCACCACAAGGTTTTGCGAGCCATCTTCGACGAAGCGTGGCGGGAGCGACAGTTTACTCCGCCCAGCGGGGTGAACTATCTGGCTCTGTCAAGGGCTTACCGCGACCGTCTCCTTTGGGAAGGAATCAAGGACTTCAAGGCGCAGCGCCGGGCAGAGGGCGTCGTGCATGCAGGATTCGGCCACAGGCGCGAGTGGGGGGATATCTTCTGCGATGCCTTCGGGACAGACTGGCGTTCGAGACGCGACACGTGTGATTCGCACGAGTCTTGGAATTACCATTTTGACACATTTCAAGCCTCACTTTGTACGCAGTGGCAGCTTCCCAACCGTGGCCGAGGTGCACAGGTCGTTCACGTGGACACCCCGGTCGCCCCCAACAAGCGGAACAAGACTCTCCATCGCATTTTGGATGGGTGTCCGGATCAGCACGGGGACGAACAGCCCGACATTGAGTTCCACCGTTTTTGCAATTGTTTCGTATTCGTAGTAGATTGCAAACCTCTAGCAGAAGTGACGCGCGGGCACGTGCCGCTGAATGCACCTGGGCTCGCACCGGTGTTTGAAAGGATCACCGGGCAGATCTTTAAGTTGATCGATGCTGGGTGGTCCCCGGCGTCAGAGACAGGGGGCCCCAGCTTATGGCGCCGTCGCGAGAAAAATCGCATCGCCGACTTTCTCGTACATCGCACCATGGATGTAGGGACCAGCTGGCGGATAGACGCCCCGCCAACTCTAGGAGATTTTAATGTTCTCGAAGCAAATTTCATCGTTCATTCCGACGGGGGGGCACGCGCAGGTTCCTGCTCAGCTGCGGCCTGGTATGCCGAAGCAGTTGTATGGCGTGATGGCCATCGCCACATTTTCCCTATCGCCATGAGTGGAACTTACATGAGCCCGCCAGTTTCTTCCTTCGCAGCGGAAGCCATGGTTTTAGAGGACGCAGTCTGCTCGATATCCCGGCTGATGCATCAGAATACCATTGTAAAGCGCGGCAGAGTTCAGCGCAATTTTTTATCTTCATAACATTTGCGCGGTGGCCTGTCACGGCGCGGCTAGAGGCGCCCGAAAAAAAGAATGAAAGAAGACGACCCAAGAGGCCAGAGGCCCGTATGATCGCCCCGGGATGGCCCGAGATACCCCCAATGCGGCCTCAAGACGTTTTCGAACATCTACACGTATGCAGACGGGTTCCACGGCCTCAACGCCGGCGTAGAGACGCCCAGACGGGCCCGAGGACGGCCCAAGAGCGATCCAGATAGCCCACGACGGCCTCAACACGGTTCCAGAGGTCTCCAAGAAAATCCCCCGAGCACCGATGGGCGGTCTAAGCGGGAACAAAAACGAAAGTATGGCTTTCGCCGCCTATGGGGCGCCCTTGGCCCCGCCCTACCTGCACAACCGCATGCCGAGGATAATAATGTATCCCCCCCCCCCTTCAGTCTTTAGAGTTGATTATCGGCGCCCTATATAAAATTCAAATTGGGCGGCGAGCGTTGAGGCCGAACTTCATTATCACCTCGTGACGTTATGTTGAGATAGCAACATCAAGTTATGTTGAGATAGCAACATCAAGCGAAGCGATCACACTTTTTTCAGGATGTCTCAGGCGAAACCAAGAGTTTTTGGAGGCAGACTCAAACGAAACGAGCAATGTTTCAAGGATGTCTCAAGCGAAACCAGCAATTCTGTGAGGATGTCTCAAGCGATTCGAGAAGCTTGTCGAGGATGTCTCAAGCGAAACAAGCATATACTCGAGGATGTCTCAAGCGAAACAAGCATATACTGAAGGATGTAGCAAGCGAAACGATACGTTTCTTAAGGATGTCTCAAGCGAAAACAGCAATACTGTGAGGATGTGTCAAGCGACACCAAGAATTCTGGGAGGCAGACTCAAACGAAACGAGCAATGTTTCAAGGATGTTTCAAGCGAAACCAGCAATTACGCGAGGATGTCTCAAGCGATTCGAGAAGCTTGTCGAGGATGTCTCAAGCGAAACAGGCATAAACTCGAGGATGTCTCAAGCGAAACAAGCATATAATGAAGGATGCCTCAAGCGAAACGATACGTTTCTTAAGGACGTCTCAAGCGAAAACAGCAATTCTGTGAGGATGTGTCAAGCGAAACCAAGAATTTTTTGGAGGCAGACTCAAACGGAACGAGCAATGTTTCAAGGCTGTCTCAAGCGAAACCAGCAATTCTGTGACGATGTCTCAGGGGATTCGAGAAGCTTGTCGAGGATGTCTCAAGCGAAACAAGCATATACTCGAGGATGTCTCGAGCGATTCGAGAAGCTTGTCGAGGATGTCTCAAGCGAAACAAGCATATACTCGAGGATGTCTCAAGCGAAACAAGCATATACTGCAGGATGTCTCAGGCGAAACGGTACGTTTCTTAAGGATGTATCAAGCGAAAACAGCAATTCTGTGAGGATGTGTCAAGCGAAACCAAGAATTTTGGGAGGCAGACTCAAACGAAACGAGCAATGTTTCAAGGATGTCTCAAGCGAAACCAGCAATTCTGTGAGGATGTCTCAAGCGATTCGAGAAGCTTGCCGAGGATGTCTCAAGCGAAACAGGCATAAACTCGAGGATGTCTCAAGCGAAACAAGCATATACTGAAGGATGTCTCAAGCGAAACGATACGTTTCTTAAGGATGTCTCAAGCGAAAACAGCAATTCTGTGAGGATGTGTCAAGCGATAGCAAGAATTTTGGGAGGCAGACTCAAACGAAACGAGCAATGTTTCGAGGATGTCTCAAGCGAAACCAGCAATTCTGTGAGGATGTTTCAAGCGATTCGAGAAGCTTGCCGAGGATGTCTCAAGCGAAACAAGCACATACTCCAGGATGTCTCAAGCGAAACAAGCATATACTGATCGATGTCTCAAGCGAAACGATACGTTTCTTAAGGATGTCCCAAGCGATGTCTCAAGCGAAAACAGCAATTCTGTGAGGATGTGTCAAGCGAAACCAAGAATTTTGGGAGGCAGACTCAAGCGAAACGAGCAATGTTTCGAGGATGTCTCAAGCGAAACCAGCAATCATGTGAGGATGTTTCAAGCGATTCGAGAAGCTTGTCGAGGATGTCTCAAGCGAAACAAGCATATACTCGAGGATGTCTCGAGCGATTCGAGAAGCTCGTCGAGGATGTCTCAAGCGAAACAAGAATATACCCGAGGATGTCTCAAGCGAAACAAGCATATACTGAAGGATGTCTCAAGCGAAACGATATGTTTCTTAAGGGTGTCTCAAGCGAAAACAGCAATCGCTCGAGGATGTCTCAAGCGAATTGAGAGATGATCCGAGGATGTCTCAAGCGAAACGAGCGATTCGTCGAGGATGCCTCAAGCGAAACACGTATACGAGGATATCTCAAGCAAAGCGAGATATTTGTCGAGGATGTCTGATGACGAGAGATTTGTTCGAGGATGCCCCGAGCGGAACGGGCGCGTTTTCGAGGATGTCTCCAGCGAAGCGAGCAATTCTCCTGCTCCCGCCCGCGACCGTTATGGCTCGAGCGTTTCGAGCTTTCCGAGTTCTCGAGCCTTCCGAGCTTTCGAGCTTCAGCTTCGCCATGGCGGTGTCCAAGCCCTCGAGCCCGCATGTGACCGAGGACAGCCAAGTCATCGCCCTGCTCGAGCAGAACAACAAGCTCCTCAAAGGATTTACCAAGCTCCTCGAGGAGCAGAGCAAGCTTGCCGACTTGCAGAACCAGAGCCTCGCGTACATCGCCGAGAAGGCGGGGTGCGCCGAGATGCGCCAATGCCTCGCCAGCGGCGAGGCAACCGACGCTTCGAGAATGTTGGGGATGTGGTGTCGAGGGAGTTCCGCGCTGTGCCGCGAGAACATTCGAGGCGCCGCGTTGGCGAGTGCCCTCAAGAATGGGAGCCCCGAGGGGATCAAGTACGAGGGCATCTTCCGAGGCAGGGGTCGGCGCCGAAGCGAGCTCTTCTGCGCGATCTTCTTCAAGGCGCACATCGAGCGGAGCGGCGAGACGACCAACGCCTTCGACGACGCAGACAAGAGCGTCGAGACGTTGTTCAAGATTTTGCCGGGCTTCCGAGCGGAGTAGCTCGACGAGGCCAAGACGCACGACGCCATGGTCGGCGAGAAGGTCGAGATGATGCCCAAGGGGCCCGCGACCGACATTGTCAGGCGAGCGTTCGGCGAGGTCCCCGCAGATCTGCAAGCGCCGTGCGAGATCATGCTCCCAGTGAACAAGCAGTGCAAGCCCATCTTGTCGAGCGACAGCGACGAGCCAGACGAGGACACGCGCGCGTTCGACACGGTCGCCTCCGTGCCCGAGGCGGCCAAGCCATACTTCGAGAAGTTCCAGGCAAACAGCATCGCGAACTACGAGAACGAGCGCATCCTCGTGACCGAGGGGATCGTCGCTTGGTGCTGGCAAATCGCCGGGTTTGCCAAGAAGCGCCACGAGCTCGATCAACACGGGTACTTCATCAAGCGCGCCAAGATGGACGAGGACGCCAAGTACCAGAGGAAGCTCGAGTACGAGAAGAATTTCTTCGACATCTACGTCCAGCAGAAGTTTCCGAGCTACTACAATATCATCGAGGAGTACAAGGATATGTGCGACGAGAAGAAGCGCAAGCAGGAGCTCAAGACGTCCGAGGCGCAGGCTTGAGCCGAGCCAGGCCGAGCCAGGCTCAGCGCGAGGCCTGATCGAGGCCTGAACGAGGAGCGAGCGGCGATGAGCGCCCAGCTCCCTCGAGTTTTCGAGAGGCGTTATCCGAGAGGCTTCGTCAGCCCCCTCTCGAGCGTAAAATCGAGCGTAACTCCATCGAGGCTCGATCCTCGATCGATCTTCGGATCGAGGCTCCGAGAGCCTCGGGCCATCGTTGATCCGAGATCGCAAGATCTCGGATCCCTGGCCCGAGAACTCTGGACTCTCGATCGGAGGATCGACCCAGGATCGAGCCCCTGTCTCAATGTCTCCCTCCTCTTCGAGGCGCGATCCTCGATGGATCTTCGGATCGAGGCTCCGAGGGCCTCGAGCCATCGATGACCCGAGATCACAAGATCTCGGATCCCTGGCTCGAGAATCTTGGACTCTCGATCCGATGATCGATCGAGGACGGAGGGGGGGGGGGGGGGGTGCTCCCGAGCGACGCAAGCAATTGCTCGAGGATATCGCAAGCGAAACGAGATCGCCGAGGATGTCTCAAGCGAAACCAAGGAGGATGTCTCAAGCAAAGCGAGGAATTTTCGAGGGTGTCTCAAGCGAAACGCGAGATTTGTTTGAGGATGTCTCAAGCGAAACAAGGAGGATGCCTCAAGCAAAGCGAGGAATTGTCGAGGATGTTTCCAGCGAAACTCGAGATTTGTTTGAGGATGTCTCAAGCGAAGCAAGATATTGCTAGAGGACGTTGGAGGGGGGAGGAGGGGAGAGAGAGAGAGAGAGAGAGAGAGAGAGAGAGAGAGAGAGAGAGAGAGAGAGAGAGAGAGAGAGAGAGAGAGAGAGAGAGAGAGAGAGAGAGAGGGGAGGCGAGGGGAAGAAGGAGGGAGGAGCGAGCGAGGAGGGAGGGGAGGAGGGAGGGAGAGGGGGAGGGAGAGGGGGGAGGAAGGGAGAGAGGATGGAAGCGGCGGCGGCGACGGGGACAGCGACGACGGCGGCGTCGTCGTCGTCGCTGTCGTCGTCGTCGGCGTCGTGGTCGTCGTCGTCGTCGCCGTCGTCGTCGTCGTCGCCGTCGTCGTCTCTGCCGGCGTCGCTGCCGTCGTCGCTGCCGTCGCCCCTTTCCCCCTTCCCCCCCCCCTCTCCCCTCCCCCCCCGCGCAGCGACGAGCGTCGAGGCAAGCCTCGAACCTCCGCGCTCTCGAGCTCAAGTGGGCCTCGAGCTGAAATGTCGAGACTGCAAGGGCCTCGGGCCTCGGTGGATCTCCGAGGGGCGCAAGGGGGCGCCGAGAGGTTTTTCGAGAAGGATTCCAAAAGAACCCCTGCAATATTGCAAGGATGTTTCAGGCGAAACGAGCTTGTCTTCTTCTTGGCCTCTTGCTCTTCCTTCTCTTCCTTTCCTGCCTCCTACTTCCTTCTCGGTGTCTCTCTCGTCCTCTGTTTCTCTCGCCTTTTCTTTCTTTTTCTATATCTTTCTGTTTCTGTTTGTTTCTCTCTCTCTCTCTCTCTCTCTCTCTCTCTCTCTCTCTCTCTCTCTCTCTCTCTCTCTCTCTCTCTCTCTCTCTCTCTCTCTCTCTCTCTCTCTCTCTCTCTCTCTCTCTCTCTCTCTCTCTCTCTCTCTCTCTCTCTCTCTCTCTCTCTCTCTCTCTCTCTCTCTCTCTCTCTCTCTCTCTCTCTCTCTCTCTCTCTCTCTCTCTCTCTCTCTCTCTCTCTCTCTTCTCCCTTCACCTGAGGATGTCTCAAGCGGAGCGCGTTTGTTCTGGAATGTTCAAGCGAAACGAGAAATCTATCCGTAGTTGCTTCATTGCTCAAGCTTTCAAGTTACGAGCATTCGACCCCGACGCGCCAGGGCGCCCCGGCTAGAACCTCGAGGATGTCTCAGCCGAGCTTCATCAAGCAAGAGGTGCGCGCCAAGCTACCCCAGAGTGCCAGCGCCGAGAATCCCGATAAGGTCGAGAAGCCTAAGAACCTGAAGCGCGAGAACCTCAAGAAGGAGGAGAAACCGCTTCAGGACGCCAAGGGAAGCGGCAGCGAGAAGCCGCTCGAGGATCGGGTCGGGCGAAAGGGGGGGATTGGGAAAGGGGGGGGTGCGAAATTTGCTGCATGCAGCTGGTTTCGGCCTCGCCCAGGGGCCCATTCCTCGATGCGCAGGCGCCGGAAGGCGCCGGGAAAATCAGCTACGTGAGCTGATTCTCAAACCCCCCCTTTGCTATCCCCCCCTTTCGCTTGACCCGAGAGGGCGACAGGGGCCAGAAGCGCGGCAGACACCTGCGCGAGATCTCGAGCAGCAGCGACAACGAGGAGAAGCGAGCCTGGCAGAAAGCCAAGCGCCGCAAGTCGGCACCGCAGCCCGAGGACGAGGAATCCGAGGACGACGAGCCCGAGGACGAGGGGCCCGAGGGCGACGACCCCGAGTCGGTCCACGCGCCTGCTCTACACCTGCTGCCCGAGCGGCCCCAGCGCATGTGGGCGCTCGAGGGCCTGCCCTAGCATCGCCCAAGCCTTCTCGAGATAGCCGAGGCTCGTCTCATTCGAGGAATTTCAATAAAGCGACGCTTCTCGCAAGGAACACGTTTCGAGAGCCTCGAGGAAGCCAAGAGAACCCCAAGAGGACGAGAATTTACTTCAAGAGCCGCCACCCCAAAGGGAGAACAGGAGTACGATGGGGGGGAGGAGGAGGAGGAGGAGGAGGAGGAGGAGGAGGAGGGGGAGGAGGAGGAGGAAGAGGACCAGGAATATTCCAGCGAAATAAGCAACTGTTCAAGGAATTCTCCAGCGAAACGAGCAATTATTGCAGCGAAACAAGCGTGCATTCGAGGATGTTTCAAGCGAAATAAGCAATTATTTGAACGTCTTAAGCAATTGTTCGAGGATGTCTCAAGCAAGGAGGTGCAAAAGCAAAGAAAACGCAAGGCGAACTCAGGAAAAGGACAACAAGAGAACCCCGAGAAACCCAAGAGGACACCAAGAGAATCCGAAGAGACCGAACAACGAGCTCCGTTGCCATTTGGCGGCTCAAGATTTCGAGCTCTCCAAGATAACTTACTTGCTCCAAGTCGACAATGAACCAGCGGTCTCGATCGAGATCGCCGAGGTCCATGGTTGACCGCCACGAGAGCCGTTGGCGAGACATCTTCCCCGAGAACGCTGCTCTTCTCCTGAGAGATTGGCGAGGGATCTTTTCCGAGGAGAGCCTCCCATTTGAGAACGCCCAAGACATGTTCGAGGGGCTGCGGCAAGAGCTCGGGCTCCCACGGCCGCCCGAGAACACGCAGCAGCACCTGGCCGAGAACGCGCAGCAGCACGAGGCCGAGGTCGAGCACAGCGGCGACGAGCTCGAGGCCGAGGCCGAGAGTCCGAAATTTCGAGGGTCTGAGATACCCAAGGAAGCCGGGAGCGAGACCGCCGAGCTCGACGAGGAGGACAGCAGGCCCCAGGAGCTAGCGCCCGAGGAGAGCAAGCGCCAGGAGCAACTGCCCGAGGAGAGCTCTCGAGAGCCCGAGGTGCCCGACGACGAGGACAGCACGCGCCAGGAGCTCGTGCCCGAGGAAGTCAAGGGCCAGGAGCTCTTGCCCGAGGAGAGCGAGCGCCTCGGAGAGGAAAGACACCGACGCCCACAGTGCTTCGAGAAAACAACGAAGAGAGCGTCGAGACGGGGCCAAGGATTATCGAATGGCCTTAAGCGAAGGAGTAGCAGGAGGAGGAGGAGGATGAGGAGCAGGAGGAGGAGGGGGAGGAGGAGGCGGGAGAGGGGAGGGAGGGGGATGAGGAGGAGGAGGAGCAAGAGGAGGAGCAGGAGCGAAGCAAGACATTTTCCAAGGATGTCGCCAGCAAGCAAACATGTATTCGAGGATGCCTCAAGCGAAACAAATAAGTTTGCAGGGATGTCTCGAGCGGGCCAAATAATCATTTCAAGGGTGCTTAAAGCAACATGAGAAATAGCTTGAGAATGTTTCAGGCGGAATAAACAATCGCCTCAGGATGTCTCAAGCGAAATAGCCAATAGTATAAGGATGTCTCAAGCAATTGTTGGACGAGGTCTCCAAGGAAACAAGCATATCTTCGAGGGCGTCTCCAGCAAAATAGAAGATCTGCCGAGGATGCCCCAAGCGAAGCAAACATTCATTCGAGCATGTCGCCAGCGAAGCTACGGTATTTCGAGGATGTCTCAAGCAAGGCGAACGTGCTTTCGAGGATGTCTTTCTCCGTAGCTCACTCGATCTCAAGACTTTTGAGTGCGAGCGAGAAACGCGCCCAGAACGAGCATGCCCGAAGCGGCATGGCCAATCAAGTGACGGCGTCCAAGAAGCCAGCGCAGGCCGCGAGGGGGTCCAAGCCCGCTGTCGTCAAGAGGCCAGCGCAGGCAGTTTCGAGGGAATCCAAGCCGACAGTCTCGAAGAAGCCGTCGAGGGCGCAGATCGAGAGGAAGGCGAGCGCCGACAAGTTCGACGCAGTCGTCCAGGTCGAGACGGAGGTCAAGATGGAGACGACGCTCAAGCCCGAGGGTTCATGGAGCGAGACGGAGATCGAGACCCGCCTCGACCCCGCCCAAGAGGCCGAGCTTCATGCCTCTTGGAGGGCCGAGAGGTTCAACTCGGGCGAGCTCACGGGGCCCCAGGGCGACGAGCCCCAGCCTCGCTAGGTTAGCCGAGGCCGGCAGTCTAACGATGCGCAGCGAGAGAAAAAAATCTCGAGAGCCTCAGCCTCGAGGCTCGACCCTCGATGAAATCAGGAGAACCCCAGGATAACAAGCATTTGTTCAAGGATGTCTCTAGCAAATGAACAGCTGTTCAAGGATGTGTCAAGCGAAACAAGCAATTATTTCAAGGATGTCTCAAGGATGTCTCAAGGTGTTTCAAGACTGTCTCGAGGATGTCTTAAGCGACACAAGCATATACTGAAGGATGTCTCAAGCGAAACGATACGTTTCGTAAGGATGTCTCAAGCGAAAACAACATCTCTGTGAGGATGTGTCAAGCGAAACCAAGATTTTTGGGAGGCAGACTCAAACGAAACCAGCAATGTTTCAAGGATGTCTCAAGCGACACCAGCAATTTTGCGAGGATGTCTCAAGCGATTCGAGAAGCTTGTCGAGGATGTCTCAAGCGAAACAAGCATATACTCGAGGATGTCTCAAGCGATTCGAGAAGCTCGTCGAGGATGTCTCAAGCGAAACAAGCATATACTCGAGGATGTCTCAAGCGAAACAAGCACATACTGAAGGATGCCTCTAGCAAATGAACAGCTGTTCAAGGATGTCTCAAGCGAACCAAGCAACTATTTCAAGGATGTCTCACGGATGTCTCAAGGTGTTTCAAGGCTGCCTCGAGGATGTCTTAAGCGAAACAAGCAATCATTTGAAGAATGCATCCAGCGAGATAAGCAATGCTTTGAGGATCTGTCAAGCGAAATACATCATATTACATTGTTCGATTGCTGATTTCTTTCATTGTTCCTTCTTTCTTTTTCCTTTGTTTATTTTTTCTCTCTCTCTCTCTCTCTCTCTCTCTCTCTCTCTCTCTCTCTCTCTCTGTTTTTGCCCATCTCCCCCCCTCTCCCCGCCTGAACTTGTTTATCCCTGTGGTTGATTATCCATGGAAAGTGAGGCGCGTGAGCTTGAGCACTCAAAAACATCAATTTTCAGAAAGCGCTTGTAAATTAAATTTAATAGATTTGGAACTTGAATGGTTTGCCCTTTTTCTTCCTCTTCTCTTCTCCTTCTTTTTTTTTTCGTAATTTATATTGTTATTTCTTTATATATTTCTTTACTTCTTTCTTTTTTTCCTCTCTCCCCCCATGCACCCCTTGAACTTGTTTATCCCTGGTGTTGAGTATCCGTGGCAAGCGAGGCGCATGAGCTACTTACTCTACACGAGCACTCAAAAAAATCAATTATCAGAAAGCGCTTGTAAATTAAATTCAATGGATTTGGAACTTGATTTGTTTGCCTTTTGTCTTCCTCTTCTCTTCTCTTTCTCTTAATTTATATTTTTATGCATTTATATTTTTCTCCATTTCTTTTTTTCCTCTCTCGCCCCATGCCCCCCTGAACTTGTTCATCCCTGGGGTTGATTATCCACGGGAAGCGAGGCGCGTGAGCTACCCTGCACGAGCACTTAAAACATTTAATATTCATAAAGCGCTTGTAAATAAAAAAAAATATTACATTTGAATCTTCAGATTTTGTTGCTTTATCCTCCTTTCCTCTCCTCTTCTACTTCTCCTTCTCATTTCTTATTGTCCTTTTCCTCTTTAATATTTTTTTATGTATTTCCTTCAACTCTCTCTTTGTTTTCTTTATTTCTCTCTTTATATCCTTCTCTCACCCCATGCGCCCCTGAACTTGTTTATCCATGGGGTTGATCATCCGCGGAAAGTGAGGCACATGAGCTCCTACACGAGCACTAGCAACAACAAATTTCATAAAGCGGTTGTAAATAAAATATAATGGATTTGGAGCTTGAAATTTTTGCGCCTCTAAATAAAATCTGATGGATTTGAAACTTGAATGTTTTGCTTTGTCCTCCTCCTGCTCTATCTGTCTGTCTTTATGTAGATCTTCTCTTCTTCTTATTCTTCGTCTTATTATTCTTCTTCTTTGTTGCAGGATTTTTTTTAATATTCTGTTTCTGCGACATGTGTTTTCTCTTCCTCATTGTCCTTCTTTTTTATATAAAAAAATAAAATCTCTCTCTCTCTCTCTCTCTTTTTCTCTCTCTCTCTCTCTCTCTCTCTCTCTCTCTCTCTCTCAGCGCAACCCCCCCAGCGCAACCGTCCAGCGCAACCCTCCAGCGCAACCCTCCAGCACAACCCTCCAGCGCAACCCTCCAGCACAACCCTCCAGCACAACCCTCCAGCACAACCCTCCAGCACAACCCTCCAGCACAACCCTGCAGCACAACCCCTCAGCACAACCTCTTGAGGTTTATTATCGTCGGCAGTTTTTTATCATCGGCAGTGGTCGATAGCAACTCCTGAGCCCTACGGGAGCACGGCGGCGCGCAAATGATACCCGTGTTTTTGAAAAACTTCATTTTGAAAAAAAAATGTTTTATTTAATTGCGAATTCCATTGAAATCTTCTCGAATTTTCGAAATAGAGCCGTCAGGCGCTTAATGCCGCACTGCGTTCGAGATTTGGGCGAAAGCGTGTTCGACGCAATTTTCGCATGATATTTTTTTTGGAAAAAACCTTTTATATTTGGTTGCGAATTCCATGGGCATCCTTTCGAAATTGCGAATTCGAGCCCGCGCGCGCCTGAATGCCACGCTGCGTTCGATATTCGGGCAAAACCGCGTGCGACGCAAATTTCTCATAAATGCGTCGCGCGCTTAAATCTCGAACGCAATGTGGCACTCAAGCGCCTGACGGCTCGATTTCGCAATTTTGAAAGGATTATAATGGAATTCGCAATTAAAAAAGTTTTTTTTTTGTGTTCCAAATGAAGTTTTTCAAAAAATGCGTATCATTTGCGTGCCGCCGTCTTCCTGGAGAGCTCAGGAGTTGCGATTGACCACTGCCGATGATAAAAAACTGCCGGCGATAATTATAGCCGGAGTGCACTATCCCCAAACAGGGTTTTTAGACCCACTGCGGTTTCCAAGGTCGATTGCGTGCCCGCCTAGTGCGGGCTGGCATGGCATGTTAAAACATGCCTCCTCCTCCTCCTCCTCCTCCTCCTCCTCCTCGTCCACCTCCTCTTCATCCCGAAAGGCATCTCGGAACCCAGAGTTGCGAGGATGTCTCCAGCGTAACGGGCTGGACCACCTCGCGCGCGGCATTTTGGACCCCAGAGTTGCGACGATGTCTCGGGCGAAACGTGCTGCGAGGAAGTCTCAGGCGAAACGGGCCGGACCACCTCGAGCGCGGCGTCTCAGAGCTCCGAGTTGCGGGGGCCTCCTGGTGCCTCCTGGGGCCTCCTGGGGACCTCCTGGGGCTTCCTCCCGGGCCTCCTGTGGCCTCCTGAACTCCACCTGAGGTTTCCTGAAGCATCTTGGGGCTCCCAGGGGGGATATCTAACCTGTGGCCGTTTGGGCCTCTCCAAATACAGGGGGGGGCCACAGGAGCAGGAAAAATCAACGAATCGACACCGGATGTGTATTAACTTGACACGTTCTGATAGAGGGCCTCCTGGGGCCTCCTGGGAGCCTCCTGGGAATCTCCTGCGGACCCCTGGGGCCTGTCCTGGGCGTCCTGCGGCCTCCTGAAGCTCTCTGGGACCTCCCCCTCCTCCTGCCTGCTCCCTCATGCACATCATCCGCCTCCTCCTTCTCCCTTCTCCTCCTCCTCCTCCTCCTCCTCCTCCTCCTCCTCCTCCACCTCCTCTTCATCGCGAACGGCATTTCGGAGCCTAGAGTTGCGAGGATGTCTCCAGCGTAACGGGCTGGACCACCTCGCGCGCGGCATCTCGGACCCCAGAGTTGCGACGATGTCTCGGGCGAAACGTGCTGCGAGGAAGTCTCAGGCGAAACGGGCTGGACCACCTCGAGCGCGGCGTCTCAGAGCTCCGAGTTGCGGGGGCCTCCTGGTGCCTCCTGGGGCCTCCTGGGGACCTCCTGGAGCTTCCTCCTGGGCCTCCTGTGGCCTCGTGAACTCCACCTGGGGTTTCCTGAAGCCTCTTGGGGCTCCCAGGGGGGATATCTAACCTGTGGCCGTTTGGGCCTCTCCAAATGGAGGGGGGGGGGGGCACAAGAGCAGGAAAAATCAACGAATCGACACCGGATGTGTATTAACTTGACACGTTCTGATAAGCGGCCTCCTGGGGCCTCCTGGGAGCCTCCTGGGAATCTCCTGGAGACCCCTGGGGCCTGTCCTGGGCGTCCTGCGGCCTCCTGGTGCCTCCTGGGCCTCCTGGGGACCTCCTGGAGCTTCCTCCTGGGCCTCCTGTGGCCTCCTGAACTCCACCTGAGGTTTCCTGAAGCATCTTGGGGCTCCCAGGGGGGATATCTAACCTGTGGCCGCTTGGGCCTCTCCAAATGGAGGGGGGGGCACAAGAGCAGGAAAAATCAACGAATCGACACCGGATGTGTATTAACTTGACACGTTCTGATAGAGGGCCTCCTGGGGCCTCCTGGGAAATCTCCTGGGGGCCCCTGGGGCCTGTCCTGGGCGTCCTGCGGCCTCCTGGACCTCTCTGGGGCCTCCTGAGGCTCGCAGGGTCCCATGGAGGATATGTAACATGTGGCCTTCTGGGCCCCCAGGCTGGACCACCTCTTGCGCAGCATCTGAGAGCTCAGAGTTGCGAGAATATCTTGTGCGAAACAGGCCGGACCACCTTGCGCACGGCATCTCAGATCTCAGAGTTGCAAGGATTTCTCAGGCGAGACGGGCCGGACCACCTCGCGCAGGGCATCTCAGAGCTCAGAAGTTCGAGGATGTCTCAGGCGAAACGGGCCGGACCACCTCGCGCGCGGCATCGGGGAGATCAGAGTTTCGAGGATGTCTCAGGCGAAACGGGCCGGACCACCTCGCGCGCGGCATCTTGGAGCTCAGAGTTGCGAGGATGTCTCAGGCGAAACGGCCCGGACCACCTCTCGCGCGGCATCTGGGAGCTCAGAGTTTCGAGGATGTCTCAAGCGAAACGGCCCGGACCACCTCTCGCGCGGCCTCTCAGAGCTCAGATTTAGGAGGAT